CAAATCCTTGACCTGGCTTGTACAGCTCTTCGTGATCTGGCTTCTGCGGCTCCCGCCTGAGTTTCCAGTTGACCTGACTCTGCACCCCAGGAGAGAGTAATCGTGTGCCAGGCTTCTTCCAGCTGCAAGCCTTTGTAACTTCCCTACCCCTCTCCTTTCTTACCTAACTTTACCTCCCACCTCTGTACTTGGCCAACATCTGCTTGTCCTTCAGGTCTCCAGCGAACTTTCTCTTTCCTTCCTGCCTCCCCAAAACTGAGCTGGGTGCACTTCCTTGGTACCCCCATAGCTCTCTGCGCACCCAGACACACTCCATCGCATCGCACTGCATCTGATCTGTATTCCCACCCCGCAGACTGATAAATTCCACAAAAGCGAGGAAGGTGGCTCATTCGCCACTGCGTCCACTGGGTTTCACACCTGGCCAGGCTCAGTGAGTACTGGTGCAAAGGATGAATCAACAGCTGAGTGACTGCACAGTAAAGGAGGAAGGAGAAATTCTTAAGGAGCCGAGTCACAGTAAATTACCGAAACCAGGTCCTGTGAATGAGCGAATGCACAAGAAAGAATAAATTCTTAGTGGCTGATTCAGACTGAGCCAGGTAAATAAGGTCCTATCCCCACACTCTCTCTGGTTTTATTTCATTAAAGACCATTCTTTAATACCAGAGAGTAGGGAGCCATAGTGGGGAACCAGACTTACTTCCCCCCAAAAGTAGCTTAATTTCTGCAAAGGAGATCTGGTTCTGCGTTAGTTGCTCCATAAACAAGAGTAATCAATAGGGTGTTAATATTAAAAAGCAAGAAAGAGGAATGTATTTCATTATCTGTTAATGTATATTTTTAGTGAACTTTTATAATCCTGTCAGTCAATGAAATATTTGCAAATAAAATGACAGCTGTTTGGAATTTACTTCATAAATCCCGGTGGGGACAGCAGGTCATCGAGGTACAGGTGGGACAAGCCTGGCCAACGGTTGGTTGGTAGCTTTTGAAACTGGATGGACACACGGGGCTTCGCTGTATTCTTTTCTCTGCTTTGGCCTAAGTTTGAAAATGTACAAAATAAAATGTAAAAAAAAATATTTTAATTGTGGAAGGAAGTTTTTCTCAGCATTGGCCACTTGGTTCAATGAGTGTTAAAAAAAAAGAAGAAAAAAAGGGCAGCAATACATCATCCGGAGCCAGCTTGGTCTTGGTCAGTTGAAAAACAGGAATGTTCTCCAAGGTTAGTAAACTGTAATCAGTTCCACATAGTTTTTAGGCACCAGAGTTTACGAATCACTGCAATTTTGATTTGTAGCTCCATTCATATGTCCACAAGAATTACAGCGTGTCGATTTCCCCGTGTTTCTTAGCCGAACAGCGCTTTTCCACAGCGGAGGCGGCCCCGGCTCAAAGCCGCGCCGGGCGCCATTTTCCCGTCGCTGGCACAGCCCGGCCCTTCCAGGTGGTTCTCCGGCCCCGAACAGTCCTCCCTGTGAAGGCACCAAAAATCAGCACTGTGCTTGCTTTTATCATCCCTAACGTGTCGCCTCCAACGCGAGGACTCTTTCTTCCCCAAGAGGCCCCTCACCCAAGTCAGGAACGCGCAGGAGGCGCGGCCCTCGGGCCACCTGTCCAAGCCCTTCCTCTTCTCCCCACGGCCGCTCCCCTCTGCGCTCGCGTGTCGCCCACCCAGCTGCTTCCGCCCTGAGCCGAGGCCGGAAGGGCTTCCCCTCCGTCTTCCGGCCTCTGGGTCCTCCACGCGTGTCTTCCGCGCCTGCCGCGGGCTCCCCGCCATGGTTCCGGCGCCTGCGCAGGTGCCGGGCACTGCCAGGCTGGGAGCTCTGCCGGGTGGAGTCCAGTCTCCTCCTCAGTTTCTTTCTTTTTTCTTGAATGGTCATGCCTGGGGACTCCACCCACTGCCTCACCCCGAGGCCGAAGCCCCCCTCAGTCCCCCCACTCGGCCTCCTTTCAGGTTTCCCTCTTGCTCTTCGCATCTTTCTCCCTTTCCTCTACGTCGGGATGGTGCTGGAAACGCCCTGCGGACGGCACGTCCCGGTCTTCGCAAAGGCGACCGCCCGCCTCGCCGGGATTGCTCCTTGAATCCCGTTTCCTTCCGTGCCGGCTGAACCCCTAAAAACTGGTCTCATAGAAACTTTTATTGGCTTTTGGGACACCCCTCCTGCCATGCCCTTCTGAGCGAGCCGTGACCCTGTTTGCATCAACTCCAAGAGTAAGGTCGTGTAATTTTATAGAAGAACCAGGCAACTTTATACAGAAACGGAGACGCAGAGTTTATCTCACCCGG